TTGCGTTGTAATTGTTCTCATAAACCTTATCCTAGTCCTAGGATAGGATTGAACGAGTAAGTTTGCCCATAAACACATAACATCTCCGGCTTAGTTGATTCCATCCGGTTATTACGAATTTGTAGCCATGCCATGGCAGAATTATTATCGCGATGAAGTACAAAAAAATACCTATAAAACTTACACGTTACACATGCACAGTAAAAACAAGGCGTGGCAAATACTTGAGATGAAAGAGAAATCTCTCTACACGCTTAATCAAACACGCCACGACACCGTTACCGCGATAACGCTAGTGATGGTGAATAGTTAGTTAAAAGTGATATTTAACTTTTAGTGATATTAAAAATATTAATGCAAAAATTATAACTCACATATAGACAAATTAAAAGTGTAGATAATTATTAGCATATAAATGACCCCCTTCTGTAACGTCTACAATTTTCGAATAACTAAATAACTTTTTATTTTGTTATAAAATAAGGTTGACAAATTTGCTCAAACTCCAGCTGGTGGTGACGCTGTGGTCCATAAATATCTAAATATTGATTCATTAGTACTTCGATTAAGAGTCAAAGTGTAAATGCGTTGACATTCATGAACAATAAGATGGAATGGAACTAAAGAAGCTGCGGGTAAAATCTAGTAAGAAATACAGCACTATTAAACTCCTTGTACGCAAGTATTTCGTGAAAACGTGGTCTTTCCTCGGTCAAATCGACACGTTCGTGCTCCACAGCGTGTAAACTTATCGGAAACAACCGTATATGAGATGTTCTTTGTGTACACTTGATAGGTCTACAAGTGTACGCGCTTACACAGTGATACTCTCACTGCGTGGCAAAACGAGCCTAACACTCAATGAAGTCAGTTCATTTTGATTTTTCATGCTGTGGTATGATAGCGCTTAAAATTGCTATTATTGTTAGTCATACCTATGTTCTACAGTTTCATTTTGTTATTGTTTATATTACATTTCTGTGTCCATAAATTTGTAAGTATGTCGTGTGCTTAAACCACGAATGAACAGGAAAATGTATTTTATATATTTTTTTAATTGTTACATAATATTAGCCTATCAATTCTTGTCACGTTTACTATCTGTAAATTACATGCTATATTTTGTCAATCCCTAAACAACACACATTACTAATAGATACGTCCATAGTGATGTAACTGATGACGTTTTAGCTTTCGTCGATGACCAATTGTTGCGCTTGTGTGGAGTTATAAGCTTATTAGCGCTTCTGTGTTGTCACTTGTCAGTATAGAAGTAGGTCTTCCGTTAACAGGTAAACGGTACCAAACGTTTTTGCGTAAATTCGAGGCGCCAGATGAAACGATCTACCATATTAAACGTAGCATTTTGCGGTCACTTAATAAAATGTATAGATTATTTAATAATCATAAAAATGACTTAAGCATATTAATTTCTCATTTATGCTAAATTTTATATACCGACTTCAAAAAGAAGGAGGTACTCAATTCGACTGTATGTGCTTTTTTATGTGTGTTACCTCATAACTGTTTTCTAGGTAAACCAACTTCGATGGTTCTTTTTTATTAGAAAGCTGGTGCTTCTCATGTGATTCCATATAAATTTGATCAAAGTCTCACCATAAGTTTTTCAGTTATATTTATAATTTATATTGAAGTCGGTTGTACCAAATTTTAATTTTAAATCATTAATAAACGATTAAATAATATTTTAATCTTAAATTTTTAATCTATTTCTTCTTCAACTTTTATAATTATTCGGGTGGGTTTCTACCATTATGGAAAGGATTTCACGTAATCGCTACCCTTGGAAGGGGATTGGCGATCGTAGTATCAGACGTATAACAGGCTTATCATCCATCGCTGGTCTTGACATTTCTCATCTGGCGTATGCCTGGTATCTATTGCTATATATCTTTGTTGCATTCCCTGGGGGTTTATGTTCAGTAGTAGACTTGTGATGGGCTATAATGATAATGATGATGAAGAAGATATAAATATAATGTAGTTTTTCTGATCTTCTCATAAGCACCACCTATTACGAACCTTGCGATATAAATGAGGAGACGGATTCTCTTACGCTGTCAGCCCGGCTTATATTTACACATATAGATAGACGCTAAGACAGAAAGACAAAAAAATTGTTTGTACTTTCATATGATTTAGTAAAAAGCTGTTATTTTGAGATTACAGACACTTTAATGTTATTTATGTCTAGGTATAGATAACCTGCCTACCATAGCATATCTTATCGAATATGCATTTTTTTTCTTTAATACAAAAGAACTATATTCCGAAGAATTCATTTGAAGAATACCTCTGGTAAGACAAAACAAAAGAAGTCAATGGATGCTTAAGATCGTGTTATGTGACATTCCTTGAGGGATACTTCAGTAACGATCATGATGGTGATACTTCAGTAACAGTTCTTTAAAACAAATCAGACGAATGGTCGCCCACGCTTAGACCTATAGGTCAAATAGATTCTGTTTCGTACGCACGCTTCCACATCCGAGAATGCTATACATTGAAGCTAATTCCATGCACTCTCAATCATATTATGCAACATAACATTATAAAGAACATAATTTTAAATGCCTACTAAATATCATAATATTATGTAAACACTCGTACTAATGCACCGGGATCCGATGAATAAACGTATAATGTTTTATAATGGGTTGGCTAGGGAATATCAGCGCACAACGCCGCACTGAATGTCAACGGCACACAAAATATATGCGGAATATTGCTGCTTAACTTCTTATAATACTCGTAAGTCGAGAATCGAAGAGTCATAAGTAACCCTTGGTAACAAGGCATTTCATCTTGGACTTTGGGGGTAACAACGCATCTGTGTTTCGATTATTAATCGAAGATAGATATGGGCTTTTATTGGCCGCAGCCATTCACTTGCCATCAGGTTGCAAGCTATGTGTGTGTTTGTCACCCATACTTATTAATTAAAAACACACAACATTACATGGATCAAAATATCAACCAAGTCAACAATCAACTAATATAAAAATAAAATACAATACGAGAACTATTACTATATTTTATCAAAAAAAGTCTCGATTTAAATTCGAACCCAGAGTCACTCAGTAGTCAACCATAACACGGTCAACATTGCAACAATAGTAATAAAATAAATAAACAATATAATGTCTTTACTGTACAAAAAATTCATTGTATGATAACAACGTAACGTTAAGTACGTATGATACGGTCATTTATTTTCGTTTCTTAATAATAAAATTATAACGTAAGAAGACACGGCCTTTTGCGGTGCATGTTGCGATATAAGACAATCATCGTTTAAAATGGGATAATAAACTCAGGTCAGAGCCTCCTCGCGGTTTTAGAAATTAAAATTTGAATGCGTATAGACAAAATATCTCAGGGAAATAAATAATGCGACGAAGTAATTGTGAGCCATTTTAATGTTATTACGTAAATGTTACGCCTTTCTTTGTAATCTTGGTTAATAATGATGAGTAAAAAAGTTATATTTAAAATAAAAATGCAACTATTAAAAATAATTTACGGCCTTCCGCAAAATTACGAGGGCGACACTGAAAGTTTTTAGAACTGGCCACTTGTAAACGATATAATAAAAAAATAAGTACAAATTTTGAAAATGGAACTCTTTGCCAATATTTATGTGTATGTATTTTATTATTTTTGTAACTTGTTTACGATTTGGGTGGAAATTTAAAATTGTCTGTGTCACGACAGCATGAATTTACCGCGAGAAAATTTTCTTACAATGATTTTTTATGACTTTCGATGTCATTTAAGTCAACAAGAAAGTTATGACAGACTTCGATTGGCCTTTCACGATGAAGTCCCATCTCGTGCCACTATTTACAACTGGTTTAATGATTTTAAACGTGGTTGCACTAATCTCACCGATGATCTACGTGAGGGACGGTCTTCTACGGCGACGACTGAAGATAACATTAGTGTTGTGCGGCATAATATGATAGAGACTGACAAAAGAGTGACTTATCAGCAGATTCGGACAACCTAAAGTATCGGTATGAGTCAAGTGCACAAAATCCTCCATGAAGATTTAACGGTCAGGAAGCTTTGTGCCCGGTGGATACCTTATAATTTGACAGAGGCCCAAAAACTCCGTCATGTTGATTGGTGTCGTGAAATGGTTCAAAGATTTAACGGAGGTGACTCAAATGCTGTGTTTGACATACTTACGGGTGACGACAGCTGGATTTATTGTTGTGATTGTGAAACTACGAGACAGTCTACTGTCTGGGTGTTTCCTTCCGAGGAGTTGCCAACTCAAGTGAAGAGAGGTTGAAGCGTGGGTCAAAAGATGGTGGCCTCGTTCTTCGGAAGGACAGGTCATTACGCAACAGTTTTTTCAGGGGATCTAAAAATAGTTACTGCAGAGTGGTACACTAACAATTGTTTGCCACTTGACTTGGAAAAAGTTCGGGAGAAACGACTTCGCAGTAGGATCCTCCTTCACCACGACAACGCCTCGTCGCGCACCGCCAATCAAACAATCGACTACTTGGCGACGTCAGATGTGGAATTACTGGGTCACCCGCCCTATAGCCCCGACCTCGCACCATCCGATTTTTATTTATTTCCGAAAATAAAAGAAAAACTTCAAAGAAAACGTTTTATGGACACCGAGAAAGCAGTGGCTGCGTTTCAAAATGCCATCAAAGAAACCTCTAAGGAAGAGTGGGCAAAGTGCTTTTCTCAGTGGTTCCATCGGATGCAGCGATGTATGAATGTAAATGAAACTATTTTGAAAAGATATAATAAAACTAATAACTTGTTAGTTTGTTCAGTTTTTGATTTTCTAAGAACTTTCAGTGTCACCCTCGTATACAGTCAGTTGTAATTCACTGACAATAGATTATCATTACCCGACATGACATGCACACGACATACATACACCATTATTATATAATATACTGTGTATGTGGACACTAAGCGTCACTTTGATATTAAGTAAATATAAAAAATACCTTAAAGAATATTCCTAAGTAGTACCGCTTTTCGCCAGTCTTCAGCAACGGCATTGTCCACCGCGTGACGCCGAGTTCATCGTCATTGTTGCAACTGGAGCATTCTGAAACAGTGATATTATTTTCTTTTAAACATATAACAACACCACTGGGTTTCCTGCTGGTTCTTCCCAGGACAGAGGTTTTTTCCGAACCAGTGGTAAATAGAAGTGACTTTCAATAAGTATTATTTAAAATCTATATTGAAATTAAAAAAAATGTATTACTGTTTATGTTTCTATTAAATCGAGTTTAAAAGGAGGTGGTTTTCAATTCTACTTTACTTTTGTATATAGATTTCTTATATTGAAAAGAATATTAGACAATGGCTGTGTTTGGCAGAAAAAAGCGTTAGGAAGCGCTTGTAAGCAAAATGCGAAACTACACAGTTTTCGGTCAGGACACGTTTGCTAACTTCAGTAGCGCTGACACAATCAGCCATTTTACTTTTTTATTTTGTTTGTTTTGAAGTAGAGTTTGTAAGTTGTTTTGTGCAATTAGTTTCAAGTAATGTAATGACGTGAATAAACATATTATACGTGTTATTAAAAATTCATGATTGGTAAGTTTTTAATATAAATACTTTACAAGCATGTATTTCAATTAGGTTAGGTTTCCCGGTTAAAGCTAACTTAGCGTCTTAAAGGAAAATTGCTATTTGACTGACCATGACATCGGAACGTCAAACATTTTAGCCCCCCCCCCCCAGACCTGTTATTATGATGAAATAAGTAAATTAGTTAAATTAAACGCGATAAAATCCGTAAATTTTGCGTTTGCGTATCTTCGACAGTCATGAACCATTCTTAATTAATATTTTTATTAAAGAAAAATACCTCAGGGTTTGATTTGTTGAAAAAATGTAACGGGAATTAAAAAACGCGATTACTTTTAGTAATCGCGTTTTTAATTCCCGTTACATTTTGTTTTAATTAAACACGATAAAATTCTTCAAATTAGATGTAGGTATATAATTTCTAATTTTCACGTAAATTGGAATCATTATGCGAATTTTCTCCTAGGATTGAAACGAGGGATAAAATAAGTGATGTATCTATTTAGGCGACAATCGAGTTGTTACCCCAAGCTTGTGATATTGCATGGTACACACCTCAATTATTAACTTCGGCTATTACCAGCTTTTGAAGTCTTTACTAAGACATAGTAAAATTTATCTAAGAATTAAAGACCGACGAGAAGCTAAAAATAATATAAAATATTTTATAATTTTTGGTATTTCAGTAATTTTTTTCAGTTTAATTATTAATTAATCATTATTAAAAGTGCTCTACAAAGTCTACTAGGTAGCATAGTGATAGGACATGTTCATCACGGTAGGCCTATGTTCAGCAGTGGACTTGTGATGGTCTGTAATGATGATGATAATGACGACAAAGTGTATCATACGGAAATATATAACAACATTTTATAGACTTAAGCTACGAGGTCAAATTACGTCGTAAAATTAGATGCCATTTATAAAGCCTTGAATTATTTATTAAACCAGCCGATGTTAACGGATTAATTACTCAGCTTGTTCAAACAAACAAAAATAAAGGTTTAAGCTTAATAGATTATTTATTTCAATTTATCTCGTCGTTTAATGAACAAATTATATTACATGAAATGGTCAATCAAATGACTTCGATTTCGTTTCCTGCAGAAATAAATCTTCCGTAGACAATTTAGTGAACATTAAGCAGGTTTATTCTACGTTTCAATTATTTTATGATGTAACTGTTTAGGTTTATTGAACGCCATTACAGTATCCAAGTTACTAGTCACAAGGTTCTTTTAAGAATTTGTTCTGTCCATCTCCATTAAATAAAATATGTTTCTTGGATTCCTAAACGGCAGATCTGATGGGTGATGAAGTGATTAGAAATATAATGATAACTAACGACCCAGATCAGATCCAATTCAGATCAGAGACCAATTAGTGTCAGGTTCAGATGATCATCAATTTTTTAAAAAAAATATACACGTAATCACTCTTGGCGTTACTTTCTATCTGTTTATGAAGTTCTATTACAATTTTTGCAGTCATTATGAAGATTAGCGAAGGCAGACACACAGAAAATAAAATTAATTTTTATATAGAATAAGGTTGGCAAACGAGCGCACAGTCTACCTGATGGTAAGTACCGTGGCCCATAGACATTTACATTTATTCTCGATTAAGAATTGAAATGCAAATGCGTTGTCACCCCGGAGGACTAAGATGGAAACTCTCGTTTCCGGTAAAAGACGATCTCCGGATCTCTACACTCACCATACGAAACGTATCGTATTAAGCTGCAATTTTACGCTGATATTCTGTGAGAGCGTGTTTGTACCTCAGTAGAGACGACCCGTTTGTGCCACAACAATAAGATAGCACTGCACTGCAGCGTGGCTCTACCACGTAAAATTTCTTGTTTTAATGGCATGCAAATAATTCTCTCAGACAGACCGACTGACCGACCGAATAAGGTTTGAAAAATGTGGCTTCATTCAACAAAATGTTGATCCTAATGACTTTTTCAATGACGCGATGCATAAAATTATGTTTTTAATTCAAACATAATTTAGAGAAAGTGGTAACACTTATCGAAATAACTGGAACACATAGTTGTTATCTACGTTGCAATGGAGTAACAATGAGATAATTTTCGCAACAACGGTGACAATTTCGAAACGTAATCCACCTTATTTCAAAGCATATTATCATCATCGTTACAGCCCATGACAAGTACACTGATAAATGTAGGCCTCCAACGAGTAAAGCCACAAAATCCGGACCTAAGCCACCTGATTCTATTGATTTCTTGCATCTCTTACCAGGTTGTCACTCCATCTAGTGGGAGGTCGCCTTATACTCCACTTACTGGTACGAGACTGCCACTCAAGAACCTTTCTTCCTTTTTAGAATAGAAGAATAGAATTTGATTATCGGTTCTTCGAGCTGCATGCCCGGCTCATTGATACTTCAGTTCAAAGATATGGTGGGCCATTTTTATCCGGTTACTCTGGTTATACTTCGGATATCCTTATTACGAAATCTATCACGCAGAGAAACTACGAGCGGTGCCGCTCCATTGCTGGCATTTCAATTTGACCTATTCCGTTTTATTTATTTAAAATGTAATAAGAATAAATAAATTGTGTACACCAACGTGTGAAAATAACTATAATTCCCGTAGTTGATTAAAATGTTGAAAACTTCTAACACATTGACAACAAATGGCTTTATAATTAGGCGTCCAGTATTACATCATTCGTTATACTAATACAGGTGTATTTGTGATATAATAGCGGCTATGATATATCAGTTAGGACCTTATTGTCTTTCAGCAACAAAAAAGAGTTATAAAGCCAATGTTACGTACTCGATTAAAGATTTTATGAGTTAGGGAAAATAAAACAGAAAATTGTTTTCGCAATACCAATTTCTGTCAGGGATTTTCCCAATCAATTAATAGGTCAATCATTAGGAAAGAGGCTTCATAAAGGTCAGATATAAAATGTGGTTTCAAAATATTTTTTGCCATTACTCACTAGCCGTGAAGCAGTGATTTTGAATGATCAATTTGATTATAATCATGTTAATTTCTGGCAGATGACATGTGAAGGAACTTTAAATGATACATGATATTATTTTTTTAATTCAGTCAGTGTTAAAGTTTAAATGATGTAAACATGGATTTAAAGACAAGTGCCTAAATGATAGAGACAGGTACTTAATTGATTACCCTTACAGCTTATTAAAGTCCATTGTCTCATAAGGGGATTTTTACCATAGTTGCCAAGCGGGTTGGCAACCACAGTTTTATATTTTCAGTCATTATAAGGAAGACACTGCTGGCCGTCTCCTGATTTATTTCACTCTTAATTGAGTATTATCAGATAATACGTATTCGAAATCATTGATTTCGCACCATGGTCCATATGGGTTAGTAAAGCAATCTATAAATTATGTTAGTAACATCAAATCAATTCGTATACATCTGCACACTTCCGGCTGCACCAGACACGCAGCAGTGCACACGCAGTAATTCCAGAAACATTAATCTTTGCAAATTTCATATTAAGATTTAGATTCAAAGTCAGCTCCAATAGGAAAATAATAAATACCTACAATTTTTTTCAAGGATATGAAATCATTACGTTGACTGTTAGATTCAGCCAAATAAATGACATATAACATGGAAATAGTAGCTGTTGTAATGTGATGACTTGAGAGAGGCTTTTTAAAACGTGTATGATGTGTTCAAATTGTTTATTTAAAGTGTCATTTAAACAAATGCCTTCTTAATTCAAATTGTTAAATTTTTTATGTATGTCAAAGTTTATTTCGACAGTAATATATAAAGCGTGACTCAGCCAGTACCTACGTTGGTGAAGGTGTTAGCGACAGTTTAGGGTTGCCACCTTAAAGTGCGACAAGTGAAAATAAAGTATTATTTATTTGACATGCTATTTTATACACACAATATCTTTACATTCAAATAACGAAGTTAAGATTGTACTCCGTTGCTTTCGTCCCATCACCTTGCATTCATCAAAGAGTAAACTCTGTAAATAACGCTGAAGTGACGGGAATGAATAGCAGACATGACAAACCATATTGTTTTTATTCAAAAAAAAATTACTACATAGAACAATATTTTTCCTGGATATAATTCGTTCTTTTAGCATTAAAATATTAACATTTAAATTTAACCCGGTAATATAATATATTCTATAATATTATAGAATAGCTAAAATAAAGTATTTTACGTACCTTTTTGGTGTCATGAAGCATAAATTACATTTGCCCGAAATAATGTAAAACGTACAATACTTTGCTATAAAGTAATGGTGGCTACCCTAGTCACATTATCTTTATAATCCAAATAGCATGCAAAGATGGATTCGACATCCTCAAAGTGGCTTTTTTGTAATGGATGTCCTCGCGAAATCATTTATTAATATTTTATATTCGGAGTAAATACCCACTATTTTGCGTTACCTTTTTTTTATTTTTCAATTTTATCTTTTTTACACCTGGCCACCCAGTAGCAATATCTGTTTTCTTTTTAAATATTTCTATTATTCATATAACAAACCAGCTTTTAATTTTACCGCCCTGTGTAAAATTACACTAGTCTTTATTGAAGCCAGCTTTTTAAGTTTCTCTTAAAATTTAATACTCAATGGGTTTCCCACATTCAATAAGTGACGCCATCTTATATTAATATAGCAATACCGCGAAAATGAAATGAATGTTGTCTTTTCCGCTTATCTATGGAATTGAACCGATGTTACAAGCAGGGGAAATATTTGCTTTGTGTAGAGTTGTATGCTCATCCTAACGTATGCATGGAAACCTCGCATTATTGGTAGAATCACAGAAATCTAAATAATATAGCCTTATTATTTAGATGTCTGTGGGTAGAATATATTTATAGCGTAAAATTGGCGAGAACTAGGATAGAGTGCGTTTGAACAACTTGTAACTTTATGAATATTATCTGATGAAATTCAAACCATTATATTCCTGATTTTTTGCCGTCACAATTTAAATAAAAATACAAAGAGCGCAACGGCAGCGATATGAAATTAATTTTGAAAAGAGTAACAATATATTTTTGAATGAACCTCGCATTGTGAGAGAAAATATCCCTCCACGCGACACGATAAATAATATTTAGTTTATTATTTAATGAAATAGTACAAGTGTGTTTATATTTATGTATATAAAAATCAATTGTTGTACGTTATTCTCGCAAAAACTCGAAAATGGCTCGACCGATTTTGAAGATCTTTTTGTGTTTATTGAAGTGGCCCTGGATGGTTAGAAACTCAGTTGGAACCGGTAGGTAACGCTGTTGTCGAGATCCAGAAATCGCTAATATTAAATCGGCTAAATCGCCGAATATTCGTTAAAGTGGTACTCAAAGTATCCACTGTATGGAAATCCCTAAGTAATAATCCTCAAAGTATCCACTGTATGTATTGAGTAATGCCATGTCTTTCATAATTTAACTATTGAAATTATATTTATTTATGGGTCTAATAAATCTACTTGTCGATATGTTTTTGAGGCCCTGTAGATTTATTTTCAATTATAGCAAATAGAAAGCTTGATAAAATTTTGTTTGGAATCAAACAAAGAAACATTGCATTACAGTCGTCAGTTTCTCTTAAATTGGTCCAAATAGTAGATATCCTGCCACTCATTTTCATCACATACTTATCAATTTTTACTAAAAATACTTTTTTCTCACAAAAATAGTCAAAACATAAGCATGTGCCGGCAATTTGCTCAATACTAGATGATGCAATAACATATCAGTGTGGCAGGGGAGCTGGCGCTAATCCCGCGCGCTTTGCGGTAACAAGTTTCGACATAAATTGGTTAGGTACCGAGGTAATCCTGCCGAATAATGTTCGGCCGAATATTCGGTTCGGTATAAATTTTACCGAACGTTCGGCCGAATATTCGTATTCGGTAAAATCCATATTCGGCCCATCCCTAATATATAATGCTAAGACCCACATCTACTTTCGATTAAGCATCAAAATCCAGGAGTGGATCTGTGGACTTATATATATGCTTTGCCTCGTCACTATTAAAATTCGCCAGACAAGCCTTTTGTATGAATTCTCTGCTATCAGTGAGCCATTACAGTCTCTTTCGACAATTAGCGCGGTACACTGTTTGAAGAGTTGGCTTATTTTTCTTTACACTAACTTATAAAACATATTCTTTAGCAGAGGTTCAAAGTCACTGCTGGATATCCACCTTTGTAAAAAAGCGCCATATCGAAAGGTATTATATATATATATATATATATATATATATATATATATATATATATATATATATATATATATATATATAGTACCCGGTTGACCGAGCTTTGCTCGGTATTTTTTAATTCGTGTGTTTTGGAAATTATAATATTTAGATACAAATTACATACTGATGAAATACGAATAATATTTTTTGATCTTAGCGACATAATAACTGGTTATTTGAATAAAAAATCATGAGTGCAATTAGTTTAATTTAAATTCTCGTGTTTTTAAAATATACTAAAAAAATGGCTCGAAAAAAATAGTTTTTCTCAAAAAAAGAAAGGAACTTGAAAAAAAAAATTAAAAAAAAGTCGGTCAGTCGGTCTGGGCTCGAACCATGGAATTACAATTTTGTGACCGCCCAATATACCAATTAAGCTATTTGTAATCATTAATAAACTGTCAAAATTTACCTTCTTATTCTAACGATATTGTAGCAGTTTTTCATTCCCTAAAAACACGGACAAAAAGACATTTTCTAAAAATAAATCCTAGCTAGATCGATTTATTGCCCCCCGAAACTCCCTGCACACAAAATTTTATGAAAATCGTTGGAGCCGTTTCCGAGATTCCGATTATATATATATACAAGAATTGCTCGTTTAAAGGTATAGGATTCCTATAGCACTAAGACGAGTTGGGAAACGCTGAGTCGATATCCTCGCACTTTCTAAAAATTACGAAATTATAATTTAAAATAACTAATTCACAAGGTGTCCTAGTACCTTTTTCTCTCTTTAGGAGTCGATCTGGGTAGGCAAATTCATTATAACTATTTATGCCGGAAAATTAAGACTGTGGGGCTCTCCATCATAGCCTGCAGGTTGCATTGACAGACAGCATTGACTGCAGGTTTACATGATCTGCAGTAGCTCTCACCATCTCACCATCAGGTGGACTGTCAGAACGTTTATCACTTTTATAAAAAACATTGAAAAATATTTGGAAAATATTGCCAAGATAACTGAGAAAAATAGGCTGCAAATGTCAGTCAATTAATACTGGATCAGAATGGCAGGAAACCAGGCAGATTGAAGATAAATTGTAGAATTTATATGTTCAGCAGAGGACGTCTATAAATGGTGAAAAGAGAAATATCAGGCAAAGTGTTAAAAATCCTTAAATTATTTATCATATTAAGCGTCTATTATATATAATCTATTTAAAGCATCACATACATTTTTGAGATAACCAAATTAAAATGATACTTTGAAGCATGTGCGTTAGTGGGCGTTGTAAACGACTGTTATTAGTATAGCGTATCTTCGCCAAACAAGTTGCCGCCATCTTTATGCCCTTTCCCCGTTAACACCGTAACCCTAAGTAGCGCTGGTCATATAACTAGTTCTTACCTGATTTTGCAATGCTGTTTGACGGCGGTGGATGAAAATTCACGGTCTTCGTGCCGGCTATCCAACTCATCAAAAGAAAAGCGCACATACGTTTGAACATTTTAGTGTTTGTTAACGCAATTATTCACTTTAATTATAATACTTATTTAATCCAAATTGAACTTTTTTATCATTTAATTTTATCCCTAAATATATATAAAAATGAGCTTTGTGACGATTAAATTGACCTGAAAAGTCAGCATCGCATACACTGTGACTAATAAGGTTGACTATATAAGCATTTTATTTATTTGTAAAATTAAAAATATCATAGTTACAATTCAAAGCATGTTGTTCGGTTTAATGCATTTGTTTATTTTTTAAGAAAAATATCTTCTTATGTGTGTAATAGATGCATTTAATGTAATTTAGTAAATTAACTTCCTGAAACGATAATATTTTTACGAAACTTTTTCTAGCGGGATTTTTAAAGTTCTTTTATAATTTATATGTGGACAAATAATAATACACATTTTTATACCTACTCGCCAATAATAAAACAAGCAGGAAGTATTAAATAAACGATTCAAGGGGGGTGACTTATGCCTCCGAACACTTCGTTTGAATATAAAATTTTATTGCAAATAAATAAGGAGATTAAAACGAAACGAAGTAAAAGGAACGCAATCCGTTATTTCCTTAGTCTCAGTTACGTTGCTTAATAAAAAGATACGGTGTTCAATTTCGCGATAGCGCTCTCAAAAAATGTAGCACATTCTTTTTACAAATTCAAGGTTTTGCAGTTCATTAGTTACCATATTTTTTTTTGAAAAATGAAACAAACCCATTTTAAAACGATAAATAATCATAAAATGAGTAAAGGGAAATAAAATATTATAGCGTCTAATACGTCTAAATACGGTCCACAGCTGGGCAGAGACCTCCCCTCATTTTTGAAAGACAATTAGGTCGTCCTCACTGCTCCAGTCCACGTTGCTGACTTCACTTGTCTTCGAGATATTTTTTTTTTCAGAAGTTTATTTTTCCCTACGCTATTTCATTCACTACCGAGCATGTGGTAAACTAGCACTTAAAATTGCAATTAACAATTTCATTAACGCTGGCGGGAATCGAAGCCGGATTTCTCGAGTTACAGCTCCACAGCTCCTTTCGGGAATATATAAGGAATAATAAGAATTGTTGAAAGTACTACTATTTCCTTTTAAAAGAAAATAAAATGTGAAATATATTGCAAATCAAATGTTTTGAAATTATTTGAAATGTTTGAATACGTGTACTGTATAACTGTTTTTTTTTTTGTACATTTACAACATTATTTTTATAATTTTTTAGGGTCACTGTGTTACATTTGAATGGAATTATTTATCAGCTTCAAGCAGCAGATGCATTACAATATTTATGGACTGGCTTTCGAATTCTGTTTCACTTTACAAATACGACGGAAACTTTTCAATAATATTGTTACGAGCTTGAGGTTCGTGACAATAAAAATTGCCGATAAAATTACCTAAATTAACACTTTAATTTACTTTACACAATTAAAGTTAAAACACTAATAATTTAAACACACTAATTCACTTAATTCCACTCCGAAGCTTCGCTTGTTTCGCCCAAATCAACACTGCCTCCATCGCATCTTGCAGCGCCTATATATTTAAATTAGCAAAGAAATATCCAGAATGTTCAAGTAAACACGCGGAAGGTACCGAGCGTTCGAGTTTCGACTAGGCGCTGTCAGTTGAGTGATTTGTGATGTCATTTTCTCAATGCTCCCCTCGCTCTCGTTCCTGACACTAGATGGCGCTAGTTGACTTATTCATGCAACACTGCCCCCTCCTAAGACATGCTCGTCCCGAGCATTATCGGTCCCATAATAACGCGCCAAGCGATCCACATGGACGATCTTAGGAGTCCCTCTTGCGCCTTTCTGTATCCGGTAGGTCACATCGTTGATCCTGGTTACAATCCGGTACGGGCCGTTCCATTTAGCTTGAAGCTTAGGAGATTTCCCTTTGCTGCGGACTGGATTGTGCAACCACACAAGTGAACCTTCGTCGAACCCTTTGTTGTTCATTTTGCGGTCGTACCGGGTTTTCATTTTCTCAGACATTTGCTGGCCCGATTGTCTGGCGTGCTCATAAATGTCATTCATTTTGTTCCGCAAGTCATTTGCATAATCGGTTATACTGCGTGGGGCATCAGGTGGTATCCCGGTGATCAGGTCCGCAGGCAGCCGTAATTCTCTTCCAAAGTTTGCGAAAGCTGGTGTCACTGCTGTACTTTCGTGAACAGAACTTCGATATGACAACAAAAACGGTTGTATGTGCTTGTCCCAATCTCGTTGCCGATTGTCTACAACTTTTGCTTCGAAGAAGTCGTTCTTGTTTTATGAGTACCCATAACTCGGCAAGTTTCCTGGAATATTTGAGACTCAAAATTCCTTCCTTGATCGCTGTGAATCTCTAAAGGTACTCCAAAACGACAGAAGACTTCATGAACTAGTTTATCTGCAACTGTTGAAGCTTCTTGATTTGGAATGGCGAAGACTTCTGGCCACTTAGTGAAGTAATCCATCACAACCATGAAATACTTGTTACCGCTTTCACTCTCCGGAAACGGCCCCGCCACGTCAATGGCTATTCTCTCCCATGGTGCACCCACATTGTACAACTTCAATGCACCTCTACTACGAATCTGAGGTCCCTTTACAGCCGCACAACTTGTACATTTGCGACACCAGTCCTCGACATCGTTTCGACAGTGGACCCAGTAAAACCGTTCTCGGATCTTCAGTAGAGTTCGTTTAACTCCCAGATGGCCTCCTGAATAATCATTATGGTACAGCTGTAGAACATCCGGTACTTTAGCTTTAGGGACAACCATTTGTAAATAACAGCTGTCCCCCGAACATTTTCCCATTTACGGCACAGAACTCCATCCTGAAGCAGCAAGCTGTCCCACTGGGCCCAATAGCTTTTAGTGGTTGAACTCATTGCTGAGACGTCGCTCCACTTAGGCTTGGGAGCACTGGCCCTTATCCATTCCAGAATCGGCTTGATGTCCGGATCTTCCTGCTGTGCATGTTGTAAGCTGTTCTTCCACTCGTTGCTGAGGTGGTCCGTCCTGAGCATCCTCACGGATACCTCTTCCTTACTCTCTTGCCTGGTACAATGGTTGCAATCTTCAGGACAAGGGCTTCTTGACAATGCATCTGCGTTGCCGTGAGATTTTCCGCTGCGATGTTCGATCTCAAAGTCGTATTCCTGCAGTAGTTCAATCCACCTCGCAACTTGTCCTTCTGGATTTTTAAACTGCAATAGCCATTTTAGTGCAGCATGGTCAGTTCGTAAGTGAAACTTTCGTCCCAGAAGATATTTGCTAAAATGCTGCAACAACTTTACCACAGCGAGCAATTCGCGTCTTGTGACACAATAGTTCCTTTCCGGTTTTGACAACGACTTGCTGAAGTACGCTATTACGACCTCTTGGTCACCATTCCGTTGAGACAACACACCGCCGAGTCCTATATCACTTGCGTCTGTGTCAACTATAAATTCTTTGCTTGCATCAGGGTATCCCAAAATAGGTGTTTTGCACAGACGGTCCTTGAGCTCCTGGAATGCGATATTGCAACTTTCATCCCAGCAGAAATGTCGCTTCTCCTCGGTTAGCTTGTGCAGAGGTTTGGCTATATCTGCAAAGTCCTTCACGAATCGCCGGTAATAGGAGCACAAACCCAAAAATGCTCTAACCTGCGTCTTGTCTTTTGGAACCGGCCAATCCTTTACAGCTGCGATTTTCTCTGGATCCGTGCGGATACCTTCTTCCGACACTACATACCCCAAAAAGTTGACTTGCCGTTTGAATAGTGAACATTTCTTCGGACTCAACTTAAGGTTGGCACTCTTAATCTTCATGAGCACGCGTTCCAGGTTTTGAAGGTGTTCCTCAAACGTACGGCCGACGATGATGATGTCAGCGAAGTAGACCAGACAGGCATCGCCAATTAGCCCGGTAAGTACAAGTTCCATCAGCCTTTCAAACGTTGCTGGAGCATTGCACAACCCAAACGGCATTACTTTAAATTGCCACAGACCCTTTCCCGTCGAGAACGCAGTTTTCTCCTTGTCCTTAGGGTCAATTTCAACTTGCCAGTAGCCACTTTTTAGGTCCAGCGTGCTAAACCACTTTACTCCTGTAAGCATGTCCAGCGTGTCGTCAATTCTCGGTAAGGGATAGCTATCCTTCTTAGTAACGTCGTTTAGACGGCGGTAGTCAACACAAAACCGCAAGCTACCATCCTTCTTCTTTACCAGTACCACGGGTGAACACCATGGACTAGATGAAGGTTCAATAACACCATCCCTCACCATTCCCTCAATCATGGTTTCCACTTCCTTTTCACGTGCTACCGGCAATCGTCTTGGCCGCTGACGGATAGGCAACTCTTCACCTGTGTTTATTTTGTGTTGAACTAAACCAGTCTTTCCTATGTCAGCATCGTTTGATGAGAATACATCGGCGTACTCGAGTAACAACTTCTTCGCCTTCACCAATTCGTTCGGGGACAGAACACTGCGACAGTCTTCCAAAAGTGTGGTCACTCTCGTTTCTGAATCCTTGCTGGGGGTCCCACTCGATATATATTGCCACTGACGTAACCAATCCACTTCCTCACAAGTACCAACCAGTGTACCTTTTTCTATAACCTGTTCCCGGTCGCAAAGGTTCAGCACACGTACTCCTGAGATGTCAGTGGTCCTGACCAAGGTTCGAGCTACTTTCCATGGAAGGTTATTGTTTACCCTTTCCACAAGTACACAACGGTGAGCTTGCCAAGCGTTTCGAGGAAGACTAACCGGAACAATCGTTTCCGATCTCGGCGGAAGAACAATCTTCTTGATGCTGTACACGTTCCCTGGTAACGCACCTTCCATAAAAAGTTCCTCCTGTCCACATTTCAAAACACCTTGCTTAACGTCGATCTCACAACAATTATTCCTCATAAAGTCTAGGCCTAAGATGCAGTCGTCCATTATATCAGCCACGATGACATTATGCAGGTAGATC